CGGTGCCTGCATGATGTTAGGAAAAAATAATTAGCATTTTAAAAGGGGGGGGAGGGTAACATGACAAGCCTCAGACACAAGGCACCTTCCAGTAGGCTGGTATACTTATAAGCTGCCACTGAAATCACCACTAGCAGAATTAATTTATACTGCTGGTTCTTCTGGAGCCCCTGTCTATGTAGCCAAACCCCCTCTGTTGGCCTCAAGTAAGGATTTTGGTCAACAGCCACTGTATCAGCTGTCAGCATCCTGGACGGTCTCCTGTAGTGTGTGTTCCCAGGCTGGGCTAGGCAGAGTGGGGCAAGGGGGGGGGGGAGCGCTTGTAACCGGGGCAAGCCCAAGGTACTGGAGGCGGCAGGGCTGAACGCAGCACATTCGCCCATGCTGTGCCCAAGCTATTAATCCTACTTGGCAAAATTTATCAGCCTAGACCCAGAAATGCATTAAGCTCGACTACATTCTGGCCTCAACTGGCATCTCCCGCCCCAAGCTTTGCTTTCGCTATGTTGCGCAGGTAGCAGCAGGCTCATGTGGTGTGGCTGAGATAGATAACCATGACTGGGCCAACAGCAGGTGCCACAGAACAGTCCTCCCACTTAGTGCTGAGCAATAGGGACACCCCTCCCCCCCCATTTTCTGAGCAGGAAATCCAGCTGTGGGCTCTTGAATTCCTTGAATTGGATCCGCCTCCCTCTCAGTGGTGCCTTTGCTGTCGCCCAGAAATCACCAGAGCTACTGGTGCATAGACTTGCCTAGCCTCAGTGAAGGGCTGGCCAGCAGATACCTGTCACTGTACGACTGCATGGGTCAGAGAGCACGTAGTCTTGTACAAAGCTGTTTTAATGGCTGGGATGCACCTCTGTTAGCTCGGTGTTCCTTGTGCTACTCCATGGCACAGCATGTCAGCTCGCAACCGCCTGACTCTACCCTGACCTCCTGAGATGGGGATACTGAAGCACCACAAAAAAAAGCCTCGCCCTCAACAGAGGAGAAGCACCTGGGGGTTGGGATGAGATGGAACTGGATGGGTGATTAACCCCAGTCCTCCAGTGTGACAGACCCTTTAACTGCCCGCTGTGCCCTCCCCCACTTACTTCAGCTAAATCCCTACAGGCAGAATAGTAGGGATGGGGAAAGGTGCCCTACAGTGCTAGAAGAGAAAGTTTCACAATATAAATAGCATTCAAAATTATTATCATTAATAGTAAAAAGGATCTGGAAGAACAGAGGAGTGTCCCATTCCCACCCCTGCTCATTCATTAATGCGTCCTCATTTATGTGACAATAAATACCCATTCCCACCCTTACTGTCTGATGCCACAAATTTAATGCTGGAGAAAGAAGAGCAAGAGAGAGAGAGAGAGAGAGAGCGAGAGCGCGCGAGCGAGCGCGAGAGGGAGAAAGAGAGAGCGCGAGAGGGAGAAAGAGAGCGAGTGAGCGAGCACACCCGTCACCCCCTCCTTCCCACTGGCAAAAGCTGAGCTAGTTGTCTTTGTGACACCAATTCCTTGCATGTTATATATGTGTGTGTGTGTGTGTACATTATATATATATAGAGAGAGAGAGAGAGAGAGACACACACACAAATATATATTTCTAAAATTCATTACCTGTTGTTCCCACCCACCCCCCTCCAAGAAGTGGAGATTATTATTAATATCGTACAACTGAAAACATGGGAAAAAAAAAACCCAGAAAGAAAAATGGGGGGCTAGAACCCCACCCATAATGAAGGGTCCCCAGATGGGTGCAGGCCCCACGCACCAAACAGGAGGCAAGGAAAAGCAGCCAGCACCCTCAAGGTTCGTGTCTGTAAAAAAGGGTTGGTTTTTTGTTTTTGTTTTTTTTGCTGCATCTTGCCCTGATTTTCTGTGATCTGCAGAATGAAGTGATGCAGCACCAGTTCTGCTGCGAACCTGTCTCTCTTATGGGGCCTGTGGCGCAGGGTTTCCTTCCTTCCTCTCTCCTGTGTGGCACGGAGTTGTGTTTTTTTTTTGTTTTTTTTCACTTGCCATCCCAATCTTTGTTCTTGCCTCATATGGGGGTCCTCTTAGTAATTCCATGTAAGAGCAAAACCAAACCACTGCTGCTGTTGTCACTGAGGTTAAGGAGAAGTTGTTGGAGCAAGGGTAGAGGCTGGAGCAGCAGCTGGAGCTGAAGTAGGAACAGGGGCTGGAGTAAGGGCTGGGGCTGGCTCGCCCTGTGACCTGGAAGCATCGCCATGGTCTGTGGAAGAAGCAGCCTCCTCCGTGTCCCCATCTTCTTTAGTGGCCAGGCCCTCAGGGTCAGGCAACGACTCTTCAGAATCTGTGTTCAGGTCTTCCTCTTCATCATCATCCTCGTCATCGTCGTCCTCCTCCTCCTCCTCTTCATCCTCCTCCTCTTCTTCGTTCATCTCCTCCTCCTCATCCTCCTCATCATCTTGGGACGAGTCATCCTCATCCTCCACATCACCAGAGGCAGATGCCACTGCCCCCCTGTCCTGAGAGGCAGTCCCAGCTCTGCTTGGTGATGGACCTTCAGTGACTTCTGACTGCTTCTTGCTGAGGTCCAGGGAATCATTGAGGCCCACGCCAGCAGCATTCTGCAGGAAGAAGAGGGAGCTGTTGTTGTCAGTGCTGAGGTTGAGGGAACTATCCAGGTTGATGGAAGAGTTCTGGATGTCATACTCCAGAGTGGAGTGGGCAAGGCCCTCAGGACCAGGAGAGATGGCAGGCAGCTCCCCCCGCTCCTGCTTCTCGTGTTTGCGCTTGTGTGAGTCCATCTGGGACATGCCCACCACTGTGTGTTTGCAGCCAGGGTAGGTGCAATGGAAGTGGGAGCACTTGAGTTTGTACTTGCAGTCAGGCACCTCGCAGTCCACGCTTGAGCTGAACTGGCAGAAGCCAGCAGCACTGATGACGTCCTGCTTGCCATGATGCTTACGGTGGGCTGTCACCTTGGTGCTGTCAGTGCAGCGGAAGCCACAGCGCAGACAGTGGAAGTGTGTGCTATTGCCAGAGAACTGACAGTCTGGGAAGTTGCAACTCAGTGAAGACTTGAAGCGTTTGAAATCATCCAGCACCAGGTTGTCAACACGGTCATGGTGCTGGGCATGCTTGTACATGTGGGTACGGCCGCAGAACTTGTAGCCACAATTCTCCCTTGTGCAGTGGTAGTGGGTAACCTTGAGAGAGAACTGGCAGCTGGAGTCCTTGCAGTCCTCGTAGAGGTCATAGCGGCGAAATCCCTCCAGCATCATCCCCTCATCCAGCATCTTACGTGAGGACGCAGTCTTACGGCGCTTGCCAAACGGGGACATGTCCTCAATAATCCAGAAACGCTTTTTAGCCCCCGAGGCAGTTGGCATAGTGATGGTATTCCCTGAAGAGAAAAAGGGAGAGTGCTGTTGCTGACAGACAGGTTGCTGTTCATCGCCTCTAACCAGCCCCGCAAGCCCTGTAACTTGTCTAGACACAATGCTGCAACTGCTCCCACCCAGCTTGAGCTCATCTCTCAAGCTCCAGGTAAGCCTGAACTCTGGGATCATGTGCTGGCTGGCTGTACGTCACATCCTCCACTTTTTGTGCACACTCCACCTTGCCTTTGTCAGTCTCGTATGCTTGCTATTGTCCAAATAGGAACTGTTGCTTCTCTGTTTGGCAAGTCTCGCAGGCTTTTCTAGTTCTCTCTACTCTCCTCTTAATGCAGAGGAGCTGGCTTGTTCTAAAGCGAGGCCTGAGGTGTTTTACTACAGTTTTATTGGGATAAGTGTCAAACATGTTTAAACATTCTAAAACCTGTACATGTGCACTGATTTCCCCTCTCCAAGCTCTTCATAAGCTGGACCAAGTAATATGCTACAACTGCCAAGGACAGGCAAGAAGTGAAGGAAGATCCCATGCGTGACTGAAAGCGGGGGGGGGG